TCATAGATTCTCCATAAAATTTAGCTCTGGACTTTGACTAGGCCATTTGATCACATCAGTACAGTTTGATCTAAACCATCCTCATCCTGGATCTCAGCCTCTTCCATGTTTCCGCCTGTAATGCCCCAAATGTACCAACATCCATCTTCTTATGGACTCAGTTAAACGTACCTGCTGCAGAACTACTTCCTGAAAACGGTTGTTCTGGATCTTCTTCTTGAAAAACATTTTTGTGAACATAACCAAGTTACAAATGTTTGTGGTTCCATCTTAACAATACTGAAATGGGTGTGAATACTTTTGGAGTCCATAGAAATGTCTGTTTGGAATGTTTGACACGATAAAAGGAATCCAAAGAGCCAAGAATAGAAGTGCTGCTGCTGCCTCAACAGAAAATATCTTTCATATTATTTCATATTATAGCCATAAACCTGATGACAGCCGAGCTGCAGATCATTAAACACCCTCCACTGCCGGGTTTTATCCAAAGATTACCTTCAGGAGCTGCATTTTGTCAAAAGCATTAATGCCTCTCTTTAAACTTTACAGGGGCTGCTTATCAGAAAGAGGAAATAAGGTTTTGGTCCATGTCTCCAATTTATGCATACTATTATAAACAAGTCAGCAGATGAGTGCTTCAATTCAGTAACACCAACTAAGCCGATGTTGCTGCAGTCTGACACGCGGAGAGCAGCTCGTTGATTTAATTCCTCATGATGTGGAACCATGTGGAACTCAGTGCTCAGCAGAAAGTGGCCCCATGCAGCAAGCGTTGGGCCAAGTTGCAGGGCTGGGGTTGAGGAAGGAAGGAGCTGCTGCTGCTGCACTGCAGGCCCCTCACTGGAAAGAAAACAACAAAAATACTCTTTCTCCTAATAAGTCAGTCATGCATTTCAAATCCTAAACAATGAAATGAGTGGTAGCTGCTGCCAGTGATTTACATGAATGCGTTTGGTGTTAGTCCTGATGGCTCCAGGCAGATTCTGGTTAAGTGTTTATTAAATCAAGTTCCTTCCAGATTAGTTCACAAATAAGTCTTTATTTGAATGAATTAGTATAAACAAAATATCTGTTATTTGCATCACAAATTGTACGGCAGGCTTTGGCATCAAGGTTCATCAAAGAAGAGGATTTCCCATCAGCCTTTTTAAATGCAGGTAAAATCCTGAGTAACGATGTGATTAAACTGAGGATTTAATTGAATCAACCATATGTAGGTAAATACTTCTGGGAATTGATGAATATGTAAAGATAAAATATTAATAGGCTTTACGCCTCCAAATGCTGCAAGAAAAATATGTTTTTTGGGTGGGGGTAAATGTCCTGATTAGTTTCAAGCATTTTAACAAGGAGGGAAGCCTTCATCTGAGGTGGAGGGAACATGGGATGCAGCAGCGGATAAAAGGGTGTTTGCAAAAATAAAAAATAAAATCATGCATTTGTATTAAGCCCTTTTTATTCAGGTACTAAATAAAAGTCATTCAGAACTCCTAAATGAAGTCCTGATGCGAGGAATGAATCTGTTAAATTTAGCTTTGGAGATGGTTGTTAGAAGTATGAGCGGTTCTACAAGGGGACCAACAGGGGCCAATGCCCCTTTAGAACTAGTCCTGGCCCCTGAACTGAAAACAAACTGCATAAATCTAAATATAAATCCACTTTTTTTTAAATAGATTTATATTACTTTGATTTGAGAAGGTAGGTGAGACAATTTGCAGATAGAATAAGATCATTTATGCTTAAAAAAAACAAACAACTACTGTCTTTTAAGTGCTTAGTCTTTGATTATCTTGTTTTAAGGGCCAAAATCATCTTTCCTTTGGCATATCATTTTAGTTACCTGCTCAAATTTAGGGTAAATACACAGATTTTTAAGAACTTTTAACTTTTTGAGATCAGTTTCTGTGGTGTTCCGTTAAAATGTTTCCTTATAAGTTGACAAAAGAGCATAGGATTTGTCCATTAAACCAATTTAATCATTCGTCTTTACTATTTACTACAATAGCTATTTAGAAATTACAGGGTTTTATGCTAAAAGAAAAAAAAAAAAGGAAAAAAAAGCACTCTTGTCCTCTTTTTGTTTTCTTTTTTTGACCCCATGAAAAACAGCTCCCCAGCAGTAACTTTCATCTAGAAACATCCACTGGTTAGAGCAGTGTTTCCTAACCTTTTTTGACTTGTGTATTCCTTTGGGCAATTTGTCTTACCATGAATACCCCACTGTCAAAAGCATTCATGCTGGTCCAAAAGTGGAACGTACAATAACTGATTATAAAACAAAAACTATTTTACTTCATCTTTTAATTTGAGCATTTATTTCTTAAGCGTCGTATTCTTTCCATCTAAAAAAAAAATAAACCTGTATTTATAAAACAGCTGATAGCAGGCTGTTCTTTACTTCCAGGACGTTCCTCTGCCTCGTTTTGATGAACTCAGACATACAAGAAAAACTTAGTTTTTGGTTTATGACAGCTTGTTTTTTTCAGTAGGGCCCTCACAAAGCAAAACCGCTCCAAGCCCTATTTTATTTTACTGCCTAAAAAATAAAGTATGTTCATGTACTTCCGAAAAAGTTTAAAAAAACAATCCACTGGACTTGGTTTCCAATATTTGAAGACGTTTCGCTACCTCTCCAGGAAGCTTTCTCATGTTCCTCTTGCAATGCACTCGCGGACCACTGAGGGGTCGCCTACCCTAGGTTGGGAATCACTGGGTTAGAGGACAAACGGTATCGTGACCGGTCAGAAATAATCTGGTGAAGTTTAAAGTAGTGCAAGTTAAAACGATAATCAAACAAATATAAAAAAAAAAACCCTAACCCAAGCTAGATTGTCAAATGAAAAAGTATAACTGAAACTTGAAAAAGGACAACTGCAAATATACCAAGAAATGGCCGTTCTAGAGGCCTGTGGAAACTCTGGAGGAGCTGCAGAAACCCAAAGCGCAGGTGGGAGGACCCGTCAACAAGAAAATGATGAATAGTCCACTACAACACTTTGAGTTTTAAGAAATAGTAGGAGCAAAAAAAAAAAAAAGCTTTTGATAACAGAAAAGTATGTGGAATCCTAGTTTATCACTATAGGATAGATTTAGAAGAAGGTTCTCAATTCTGATGAGACAAAACATGTTTATAGCCTGCATACAGACTTAGACAGATTTATTTGTAATTTTAAATCGCAATTGGGAAATTACATTTGTAACAGCTCTCTGGACAATTTTATCATTTTTTTAAAGTGCATCTTTGAAAAAAAAAATATATATATATACATATAAACAGTAAATTTACAGCTTTTACATTTTCATTTTTTATGATAAAATATAATAAAATAATAAAATACAGAGCGCTACTGGTGACAGAAAACTTTTAACTGCATCTCATTTTTAACTCATTATGCCTTAAAAAGGCAAACTAAACTTCAGCAGGGCCAGGAAAGCAAGTAGGGGCCAACAGGAATAAAAATAAGTGGAATTTATTGGTTTAGATTAAATTAAGGACATTTAGGAGCCCTTTAAAGTCCAGACCTAAATCGATGCCAAAAGACGCACTTCGGCGTAGGTAAAAAAAAAAAACATGATTTGCAAGATGCTTATTTAAAAAATGCTTCTTAGAGTCCCTATTCTGTTCCAGACGCTGTTCCCCATTACAGGCTTAATAAACTCCCAGTTTGTCCGCTAGGTGGTGCTGTTGTCACACAGACTTCAGTCCGGATGTCTTTGCACATCACTTTGCCCTTTTCTGCATCGTCACTACTAATTTTGAGTATAACATAATATTCAGGAGCATGGGAATATCATATACAGAAAAACTAAAGAACAAAAAAAGGCAACATTTCTGTATACCGCTAAGCAACATGCAGCTCCCCCATGATTTTCTCCAAGCACGTAGCCTCGCCAGCCAATAGTAAATATGCGCACTTCTAACATCGAGCCTATCAAACGTTGTCCATTCCTTTCAAACTGACTCCGTTAAAAATGCTTTTTTCTCATAAAATCGCCACAGAGCCGCTAAAATGGAAGAAATGAACACGTCTGTTTTGTTTATCCCCTTAAAAATTATTTATTACGTTTCCATTAAGAACCACTGCCTGGTGCAATGCAGGTCCCGTGTAGCCAATCGATGCGTTCGGCACATAGAGTATAATATTGCAGGTCCTCAACGGCCAATCAGAACGACCCTAACATACACGCGCCGCACACTTTCCCGTCTCAAATACGCTTCCTAGATTTTCAGTATCATTCCGCGGTTAGAAACTAGTGCCTTCTGTCAAGAAATTGTAACTTCTAGAATAACCATGAAAACGTCTTAGTTGCTGATCTTAGAAGAATCTTAGAAGAAAAGATTGTGTTTGAAAGTAAATCTAATTTTGCACAAGATTAAATGAACAAATTGAATTTAAAAGTGAAGGATATTTTGTTAAAAAGTTTATTTCATGACAACTTAATTAAACGTGTCCTAATCGAAGTGATATTCAGTTACTTGTTTTTTTTTTTATTTTATATTGAAATAGGAACAATTTAATATATATATACATACAATCGAAAGTTATTTGTGATGTAAACACTACAGCCATAAACACTACAACTATAACTTACTCAAACTTAAATATAATTATGTCATTAGATTGACTTAAATTTATATAATCTCTAGAAGCACAGGAAATTTTTTTTAATAAATCTGAAGTTGAAATTCTCTAGTATAAAACTGTAATGATGAATTAAGGAACTATATAGTAGATATATGGCTTCTCACACTAAATATCCCTCTATTACTGTATTATTATATGCTTTGCTTTGTCAGTGATCACTAAAACAGAGTCCAAGCAAGATAATAATATCAATAATTAATGGAGTGTCAGAACGAGCAGGAAGATGCTCCTCTTCTGTGCACTGCAGACGTTTGAGCCGAGCTGATTGGCGTGCTGGTAGCCACAGCTCCGCGCTACAGCAAACGGTTCCGAATCGCAATAAGGAAGTAAACGATAAGCGCATGCGCGGCGGAGGGATACATCCACACAATCCTCCTCTTCCTCCCACCTCCCTGTGCTGGCCACGGCCAATATTACACACTCCAAACCCGCCAGTGGAACTCCATCTAAGGGACGAGCACAGTCGTAGCCTGACTCCACAGACCAACAAGCACACAACCCATCCGCCATGGTACGTATGGCCATTCATTCTTTGCATAATGGAAGGAAAACTGCTTTTTTTAAAAAAAAAAAAAAAACCTGTAGCGGCGCTTGTTTTATAAACCATTACATCCCGCTTTGCTTACGTTCTCTTTTTGATGTGCACTCTTATGGGGCTACTCCTATGCGTTCAGGAGCGGGAAAATATAAGGAGGAAGGCTTGACGTTAAAAGGTCTACGTGAATCATTTTTTTTGCTGTATTTTTGCGGTTTTATGTTTGGGAAATATGCTCACCTATATTATTGGTCTCCACGCTTCATAACTGCGCAATTAGCTGGTTGGTGGCCGCGTGCTGCAGCTCGAATTAAAACTTGGACGACATTTGGAGGTGTGGGGGGGAAACTGGGAGGCTATTCTGGGTTATTACCGGATTATTCTCCTGGTATAAATGGTTTTCATTTTCCCTCGCTTCATTCGTAGCGCAGGCATGTTATGAAAACATATCAAACCCCCCCACCTCCCGCCATCACATGGATACTGATTAATCCGTGGTTCATCCTCGGTTCTCTTATACATGATGACGGTGTTTGGTTCCCCCCCATTTTTTTTTTCTTGCACCATTTTTGTTGCCGTTGTTCTCGTCAGTGTTCCGCAACGGAAATGGACCATATACCGTAAAAAAAAAAAAAAAAAAAAAAAAAAAGCGAGGCGACATCTCCGCTGAAGCTCCAAAAGAGGCGCTACCTGTTCCCCTGCAGCCCCAGACGGCCTTTATCGTCCGTAGGCTGGGCTATCTGCTTGTGTCATGTTTGCTGATTTGTTTGCCACTTTGCAAATGTTTAGATGTTATGCAAATACGGCACCTGTAAGGACTCTCCGTCCACTGTCTGAAAAATATGGACTGGAGGCACGAACAAGTGTGATCAACCTGTTTTCTTCTGCAGAACTGCAAACCAGCAGAGATGTTGAAACCTAGCTGTCATCCTTGCCTTTATAATTACATATTCTGCATGTCACTCTTGCTTTTTTAGCAATCTCTCCAGGCCTCCATGACTTGCAGAAATTCATTTAGCTGTAGGCAAGCCTACCTTGACTTTTGCAGCTTTGGAACTTGTCACCAACTGGACAAAATGGCCCCATAAGTTTTGCAGTGTGAGGGCCCTGCTATCAAATATCCCTCATATGGTGTCAAGCTTCCATTCAGTTTCACGTTGCAACCCGCCACCGTAACTTGATTGTTGCAGCCGACTATAATCCGGGAAAAGTTTCATCCGGGGTCGTAAACAACTCACCTGGAGGCGATGGGTGGTTTCAAGTGGAAGTGGCCCCACCATGTCCCTTCTCTTCAATTGTTTTGTGATGCATGTTAAATACTATGATGGATAAACACTTAGCTGTGTCCAACATGTCCTCCCTGCATCTCATTGCATCCGTGACTCCACCCTTCACCTGCCACCACGCGCCATATGTTGCGTTGGCCTTTGTCGCCGGACGTTAGGAGTGTGGTGATGTTTACGCAGCCTCTTTTTGAGGCAGCTTGTGTCTGAGGCCTCACTGTCTTTTGTCCAGCTTCATAAAGAGGAGGCATTCTTCGCCCTCTGGGGCAGTGAACCCACCCACCCCCATCTCACAAACACACTCACTCTAAGCAGATTGTGCCAAGCTGAGTTTCTGAAATGCTATCATGTGAGAGCGAAAGGCATCTATCCCCTTAGTGGGACATAGCTGGTATGATAACCTTGATTAAAAAAGCTGTTGAGCTTCATGTTAGACCAAACACTAAAAACTATTTGCTTTTATTAGAGCAACACATTGATTTTTACAGCTGCAGACTGATTCCTGATTTTTCTTTAAGGTCTGATACACTGTTTTTGTCTAAAAATGCTATAAAGGGTTTGATGTTTCAGTCAAAAAAATAAAAATAAAAAATACAGACACAAAAAAAAAAAGAAAAACAAGCCAGCATTAATGAGTTTATAGATGAGAATGATGAGAGTGTTGTGGTCTGGATGCTGGTTGGCCATTTGGCTTTACTGTCTATTGAACAACCCACAACAGCAGCTGATGATGCAAGGCGCGGCTTCCAGCTGTCCTTTTTGACCCTGCTCTATTTTGAAGCATGGATGCGTCTAAGGACGATTTTACACACCTCTACTTAAGTGTCAAAAAGCGTGTTTCTATTTGCAACAAGCTGATATTAGCTTGTAGAACACTTATATCCTCGAAGTTGGCTGCTTTTAGCTTTTCCATTTTTGTTAAATAGTATTTTAAAATGATATATAACCGAGCGACTGCAGGAAATTCTTAGGAAAACAAAAAAAATAGTTTTTTTTTCAGCTGTTTTCTGATTGACTGATGGAGATGCTTCCTGTCTGCATGAAGCGCCAGGGAAATGGCTGACCCGACCCACTCATGCCACAGATTCCAAGCTGTTATCTGGACTGACAGCGTGGCCCTTCCGACGCTAAGGGCGGTGAATCACAGGGAGTTTCCTCTGTGCTCAGAGAGCCACCGCACAGAGAGGGGGGAAAAAAAATAGGAGTTGCTATGGCACCAGAAGCCCTCAGCAGGTTGGGTCAAAGCCAGAAGAGGATCCATAGCACTGAGTCACAGCAGTGAGACGACACAGCGCTGACATTAGGCAGGATGAAGGAGAAAACATGCAGATGAACCGCTGCTTCATTTTGGTGCATGAAGTGAGGAGACAGGCAGGTTATTGATTCAGGACGTCTAATTGTTTGAAACTCCACCAATTTCAGACGGAACCAGCTGCTGCCGCCGTCGCTCCGTCCACGAGGAGAAGCCTCTCCTGTTCTGGAGGAGCAAAAAGGTCATTTAGCTGTGCTGTCATGTGGTGGTCTGCTAAATGCCAATCCAGCCTAAACTAATCTAATCTTGATGCAACAAATTAAATTTCCCAACATGGAGCGGCCTCACCTCCAAACGGCATTCTCTACATTTTGCTTTTACAAGCATGCAAACCTAACAACTGGAAAACAAGGCAGCAAAGGCATGGAAAGTCCTGGTGTGGAGGAAGCCTGCCATTAGCGTGTGTTTATGAGCGAGGGAGCATGTGCTGCTCCTCGCTCTCTGTGTGTGTTCCTCCTTCAGTGCCAAGCGTTCTGATGTCAGACTGCTCCGTTAACTACGATCATAAAAATACCTCCGGATCAGTAGCTTACACCAGGAGCTTTGTCTTCACACTTTACTGCTGCTGTTTTACGTAGAGGTTTAAAAGAGTGTGGCTGCTCTCAAACCATTTAAAGCATGTATGAGTCAGCCATGATTTGGCCTAAGATAGTCATGATGAGGCAGGGCAAACCACACCAGTCCAGCAGGTTGGATTATTTTTTTCCTGTCTGTACCTCATCCGTTCTGTTACTGAAGTGTTGTAGACTGAGGCAGTTGCTAGGAGATCAAGTTAAGACAAATTCCAGTAAAACAAGCAACATTTCCTGTCCCACCACGCCAGCCCTGATTACATGTCTCCTTCCAGCATACGTCACTCTGTGCCAGCTTTTCGGGAAACGCCGTTTCTGAAAAGTTCCAGTTAGATGGAGATGGTTTTCGTGTTCTCTAAACGTATGAAGATAGGATAAAACAGCACCTGCCCCTCCCCTACTTGTTGCTGGGAGATTGTTTTTATACATTTGAGCTGTTGGGGGATATTTTTTAACCTAAATACTGCTACTTATTAGTTTCTATGGTAACACGGTTATAAAAATGGCTGCTAGTAAGGCTATAAATGCAGAAGAGCTGAAAAAACCTTTGTTGTTAATTTTTTTACCTTTTTTAATTGTGGGTAATTTGTGAAGTTTAGAGTCAAACGGTGAGCATATGAGGCTCAATGTGGGACGACCACTTTGACACCATAAGGGACAGATTATACTTCTGCAACCACACACATCAAATGTCGCTTGGGTCTGGTCACAAACCAGTTTTGCTGGTATGCTTCTGCACCGGTGGTTTGGCATTTCTAGGGACGCGCAGCAGTTTCATGCCAAAGCGCAAGGGGGAGCCTATTCAAGAACTCACGAGATCTTCTTCGGCTGCGCCGGCAGGAGTCTTTATTTTGCAAAACAACGTGTCTGAGGCATCGTACAAGTGGTCGCACTTCCGAACCTCCTCGATCAACCTTTTTTCGTGGTTATACATTGTTGTTATCACTCCTTGGTTTTTAAAAATGGCGCGCCCCGGCACCGAATCGAGAAGAACGACCACACAGACAGTCGGAAAGGCATACCAAGGACCAATCACAGCTGCTTTTTGTCTGCGCAGTTCTGTTTGAGTTCTGAGTGGGTGTTCGACCCTCCGACGTGTAGTCAGGATGGGGGGCGTGGTCGCACACAGTGACAGATTTGATGGTTGCAGAGGCTATGCGTCAGAAGTATAAATTGGCCTTAAAGCTGCTCTGTTTTATTTTTCAGTTGGGTTATATATGTATGTTTTGAGTCTTGCTTTGGTTGTTTTTCAACATCCTCAGAGGAGAGAGAACGCTGTGAGCAGGGTGGGGTTTCATGCAGACAATCTGATAACTGAAAGGCTTTCCTTAATGAATAACCTGCGTGTTCTCCCTTTCCTCTCTCCCAACAACAGGCTGACCAACTAACAGAGGAGCAGATTGCAGGTAAGAGACCTCCTCTCATTCCCCAACCAAAAAAAACACAATGCTTTCCTCTTTGTTATTTTGTTTACTGGCTCTCAGTGGATTAAATCCAGCCCTGCATTATTCAATAAAGCTAGCAGTCATGTAAGGTAATGTCTCTCATTAGCCGTTCTGGCTGCTTCCATGTCACATGAAGGGAAACAGAACATTGAAGGATTTGGCAGCAGCCCCCCCCCCTTCCTTGGCAGATCATTAGCTGTTGGAAATGAGCAGGACATAAGGGGCTGAAGTATTCACAGCAGCTATGAGTCAGGACTGCAACCTACAAAGTGTCCCTGAATAGACAGGTTTCCATCCATGTTGCTGATTGGTTTCAAACACGGAGGAAACCTTTATGTTCTGGTCATAAAAACACATCGGGGGGCTTTAGTCTAGAACTTGGAGCTCTGCTTTCCATTCAGCCGAACCCCCTCTGTGGTTAATTAGCGTGTGCAAAGAGCTCAAGGCGTAACACTGTTCTTCATTTATCGGAGTAGCTTAGGAGTGGAGAAATATTGTAGAATTAAGGTAAACTGATCCTTATATAAAAAAAAAAAAAACAACCTTCTTCCTGTTGCCATGTTAACTGGATTCCTGAGAAGAGTGAAAGCTCATCAGACGGGCCAGACGATGGTCATCGGAAATCTATTAGCCCCGGAGAGCCACATTATGACCCGACTTTGTTTATGCGGCCGCAGCAGTCTAACAGCCTCAATGTTCCCTTCAATCCTGCAGAGTTCAAGGAGGCTTTCTCCTTATTCGACAAGGACGGTGATGGAACCATTACCACCAAAGAGCTGGGCACCGTCATGAGGTCGCTGGGTCAGAACCCCACAGAGGCTGAACTGCAGGACATGATCAATGAGGTGGATGCTGACGGTCAGTATCGCATGTTTGTTCTGCCTGAATTATCAATCATCCGATACAAGATGGTTCTTATTTATGCATAGAAGTGGATGTTTTCGACCTTTTCACTTTATCCGGGTCAAACAGTGCACGCTGTTAAGAGATGGACCGACACATTGCTGCTTTTTCCGTTATTTATTTTATTTTTTGTTTATTACTTTCCCTTTTTTTTTTTTTTTTACTTGTGTAACAATAGATATTATTGTGTCATTTTTATCATGTAAATAGAGGAAGAGAAATGAACACCTGCTTCATGAATATGCCTGACATATCGGACTGGCTAGACTTGAGTCAAATCATATGCATCTATCTGCCTTCAAACATCAGTACTGATTGAACTCTAATGCTGCTAGATGATGTGTTTATAGACTGAAAAAAAACAAGTTTTAGGTATGATGCCTTGAATGAATAGGAGGGAAGATCTGCTGTTCACTCATGGGAGAAATGGCTGATTACCTGTTGTTTGCTAATTTCTGAAGCAGAATCTCAATGAAATGGGGGATTTCTCTCTGTGTTTATACCATTTCACAGAAATAAAGCCAAATTTGCATTTATTCTCCTTATTCCAACTTTAGAGTTGTAAAAAACAAACAAAGGTGCCTAAAGGTTGAATCTCGTGTGTTTCTCACCAGTCATAATTCAATATGGCTGCCATTTATATAAAAGTACTGACAAGACACAGTACAACAAAACCCCTTTATCAACCCTGTTAGTGTTTGGGAGTACAAAATACAGAATAATGCATATTACAATCAGTCTGGTCACAGAATCCCGCTGCTTGTTGGACCTGGATCTGGGACACAGCTACTGTAACTTTGGTTTGAGTTTTCTCTCAGATCCCTGTTCTGAATTTTAAGGAAATCTGCAGTTATCCTCTAAAACTGGCTCCTTGTTTCTTTGGTTTGTTTTCATTAATGTTTAGAGTCTAGTGCGAAGCTCCGCCCATCCTCTTAAGGTGCCTTAGGACTGTATTGTGTTATAAAACTGAGTAATTTAGGGTGTGTAAGGTCGACTGAAATGTGTCACATTGAGAAAAAGTGTGCGTTCTGCTCTGGCCGACATGCTGACAAATCCTCCAAATTACCCAAACTTTTGCAGGCGACGTGGAAGGGTTTTAATATTTAGGTTAATATGATGCTCCCTGGTTTTTAATCTACCAAACGACCCATCAGCTGCTGCAGAAAGTGCACAGTCACAGCTCTTTTCCTCTACACACGTAGCGAGGAAAACCTCTCTGGATTTTGGATTTGATTTGAGCCGTTAAAGGTGGGGCTGCCGTGATTTACAGTCATTGCGTGACTTTGGTATTTAACTCCCCCATGGCAGATAACAGGGGATTAGCTCAGGCATCCATTATTGTCCTGCCTCCAACACATCAGCTGCGTTGTTGCCCATCTCCCTGCATTTCTCTGCCAACTGTTCGCCAACTGTCCCAGCCAACTGGCCGACCAGCTTTATTGTCAGATGACGTATCCCTCTGTGTCAGCAGTTCAGTCACGGCGCGTTCGGCTCCATCAGAATCCACCCTGACATGAGACGAGCAGGTGGAGTGTTCAGAACAAGCCATTCGTACAGAAGCCCGAGCTTCAGACAGTATAAAAACAAAGATCCCTTAAAGATGTGTGAAACTCATTCAGACATCTCTCATTATGTAAAATAACATCTTAAAATATCGAATATAACAATGTAAAAAAAAAAAAAAAAAAAGATGCTCCATCCCACCTAGGATGCTGTAGCGGGACGACGTTGATCAGAATAAATCGATTCCCCCCTTCAGTTAAAGATGATCCCTCCACTCCCACCAGTAGCGGCACCCCATCACTAACATCCCCTTGTTCTGCCTCCCTTGGCTGATGCAATATAGGTCAGACGGCAATGAAGGTAGTAATGGAAAATAAAAGTGGTTACATAAGGCCTCTGTGCTCTGCACATCCAGCACCCACATTGGATGTCAGCTGGCCCATTGAAAATCAGCTTTATTTACCAAACAAGCGTGCTGGGGCAGAGAATGACAATGACTGCAAAAGAGGGCGGTTGGTTTGGACAAGACAGATGAACGCTCTGATTATAATAAAAAAAATGAATCAGAGCAGAGCTCTGCTCCAACTTGATGACATAAAACCACACGTACCCCCAGCACATCACTCATTACACAATCCTAGCATCCCCCCTCAGCTTCAGGTTGGAAGGAGGGGGGGTCGGCACACGTATGAGTGTGCTGAGATGTCTCAACCATCTATATTTTGCGTCAGCACCTCTTATGTGTAATCGCACCATCTCCCACTCGGTTCACTCCTTATATTCTCTCCTCTTCACATCTCCCTCTCTGTCGCCCACTCGCTTCCTTCGCCCTCTCTTTTCCCCTCCCACTGTTTTCTCTCTCTACTCTGCCTTCTTCCCCCTTTTCAGTGCAGAAGATGAAGCCTTACCCCTCCTGGTCCTATAAGGGCTCCAGGTGAAACATAAAAGGAGTCTCTCTGTCAGATTCCCTCCCTCCTGTTGGGAGCTGATGAGCCACAGTCTGATCCCGGTTTAATCCTGTTGTGTCTACAGCTACATGGATATTGATCCGACAGAACACATGCATGACAATAAGCCACAGTGGCGGACGTTGGAACAACCTGAAACCAAACGACTTAAAGGGGGGGATTCTCCAACCACATTCAGATTTGGTTTTGATATTTTTCTGAAAATCCAACAGATGGTTTTAGAAACATTTTGATCTGTTCTGCTACATCCCAAAGTGTAGAAACATTAACCGACAGAGTTTGCAAAGAAATAACAAATATTTTAAATAGTGGTTGAAATAACAATTCTTTTAAAAACTTATGACATATTGACATGCTAATCCCTGTTTCATAGGTAGCATAAAACATACTCGAGATAAACAATAGATCTTTTTCTCAGTATTTGAACATTCAAAGGAAACATGAGATGTCTGGAAATGACAATAGACCTATTTTTGGTTTTACAAAACATTACCTTTTTTCTTGTTCCCCTTACTTCCATGGAGCTAAAGCTGCTATCCAGTTAAATTTTCTAGCAGAAATGACATTGATCCTAGGGGCCATTTTTTTTCTTTTTTTAAAAACATAAAAATAATAATAAAAGTAATATTAATTTTTTATTTATTTTTTTATAAAAGAAGCTTATATTTACTGAGTTTGGGAAGAAGAATGCTAGCTCCCGTTAAACGGCTTAACTTGTGTGATTTATTATTTTTTTTTTTTTTTCATCTTTTTGCCCTTTCAGGGGCGACTTTCCAGTCGTGCGTGATTTTTCCGATCAGCCTGACTTTCAGCCTGATCGTGCGTCGTGTAGTGTACAGGGGTAACGAGGGCTGATCAGCCTCTCACGGCCACCTCCTGATCAGGAATCGTGAGGTCGGGAGGAAATCAAACATGTTTGATGGGCAAATTGCTCAGGAAAAAGGATTCTTCTTCTTTTTCCCCTCAAATGTTAACAAGGAAGCATGGCAGGTGCCGGTGAAATGAAGTTCTTTCTGTAAAATAGACAGACCGTAGTAGCCATGTTTTCTCAGCCAATTCTTTGTCCAAATACGTCACCGCCTTTTCTTCTTAGTGCTTTCAGCACAAAATTGCACGAATTGCCAATGCAGCGCGTTTGTTCTAGTGAGCTTCATATTCCTCTTCTACTGGTTTGGCTTCCGGATAGACGAGTCCGTGTAGCGCTGTCTCACTGCGCAGTTGAGTTTGACATAGTTTTCAGATGTACAGTGTGAGCAGGTAGATATCATCAGAGCGTTGTGCTGCACCGTGTGACAAAATAATTGTGAAACCCTGCGGTTTCGTCGTCCAGTGTGAGCTGCAGCTGCATGCAACGATTGAAAAAAAAAAAATCGCAGTGTATTCCCAGCTTTAGCATTTTAGAGGAGTGTCCGAAAGTCTATTGGATGTAAAAGGGCTCGAAATTTCCCACAATGGAACTTGAAAAGTAGTGATCATCCATGGTCACTAAATCCCAGATTGCTTTGCTAGAACTTTCTTTGCAAAGTGTCATGGGATTTGTTGTTGCGGTGAGAAGAACAAAGATGGGGCGGACACCATGCGGAGAGGCAGAGTTACATGCGCAACGGGGAGTGAAAAGCAGTGATCATCTTTCCAGTTAGTTAGCTGAGGTTACTATAAAGTCCACCATACAGTCCCCGCTCTATATAGTGATTGCAGGATTTAGGGGTTAGGGCGGACATTTGGACACGGCCTTAGTCAGGACAGCTTTTAATGTGAAAATGTGTAAATTCTGGACATTTGTTCTCCATCCTGCCTGCTGCTAGCATGTGCTAAATAAAAGTTAGCTACTTCTTCTTTGATTTCCAATTTTGACTTTCCACCCCCTGGTGATTAAGAAAAATACCAAGATACTGCCTCTTTGTATAAGCTGCATGGTTCAAAAGGCGTGGAAAAAGTGTCGGCTAATAATCCAGAAAATCCGGTAGTCTTTGTATCTAGTAAGTGCAGCATGACTAAGAAATGAAACCTTTTTTTTGTTTTGTTTAGCTTTTCTTATATCTGCCTGGGATACCAGTTCCTTAATACTTGGAGAAACTGCAGTTAGTTGGAGTCCAGAGGGGACCAAGCTGTGATTCATTTATTTTCCTTAAATGCCAAGCTGCACAGTTTACTAAATGTCTAAACTATGGGTGACCACAGGCTCCCTTCTCCTTAAAGCCAAATCTACCATGGAAAGGTTTAAATCAGATCCACATCTGTCTGGATTCACATTACATTGGCTGTAAAGATGCTTGGAGTTTCTTTAAATACACACCGCACTCTCTAGAATAGTATATTCTCAGCAATTTTAAAATCATGCTTAATTTTCCATTCAGTGTAGAGTGAAGCAGTGCTGTGTTGATCCCCTTTTAAAAGAAAACCAGTAAAAACTATGACATGACTTTTATACAGCGCTGTCTGCGTCGTTTCATCGGATCTAAACGACTATAGGAGGACAAACAGAGCAGAAGCACCAAATGGATGTTTTCAGTTGGCTGCTTCTCATCAGCAGAATGCTGATTGTATTATTTCAGCTCATCAGAGTGAGCTTTTAACTGATGGTTTATTCAGGATGATTAAATGTGCCTCATTGATCATCCCTTCCAGGTAATGGAACCATCGACTTCCCAGAGTTCCTGACCATGATGGCCAGAAAAATGAAGGACACAGACAGCGAGGAGGAGATCCGCGAGGCTTTCCGGGTATTCGACAAGGTATCACAAGTCAACAACAGCTGGAATGGGACATGAAGTTAAAGGGTTTGCGGTATGGAAGGGGCCGGGATTATGGAAAAAAAAAATGTTAGAATTTTCAGACCTTCTGAAAATTGTAAAAAAAAAAATGTAGCCATCCATTAGTTTAGCTAACTGTTCCCATTTGTCTGTCTGCTTGTTTGGAAACCTGAAGAAATATTTGTATTTTATTTCATTTTTTTTTTTTAGATCTTAAAGGGTCTTAAAAAAGAAACATTTTATGACATAATCATTTGAACCCTTTTCCTCCGCTTCCAGGACGGGAACGGCTACATCAGCGCTGCAGAGCTCCGCCACGTCATGACGAACCTGGGGGAGAAGCTAACAGACGAGGAGGTGGACGAGATGATCAGAGAAGCAGACATAGACGGAGACGGACAGGTCAACTATGAAGGTATGTAGAGGAAACTCATAACTTTGGTTTTATTAAACTGGGTCTGCACCAATGCTCGTGTTTCTCTGAGGGCGAGCTGGGCTAACTGTCTGTCAAGTCTGTCATTAGATGGGAGCCTTCTTTAACACAGACACACGAAAAAAATGTTTTTCTACTTTCTTACTTTTAACACCAGAGTTCATCAGGTTTTATTTGAGTTTTATGAAACAAGATAAAGGAATTTTTTCCAATTTAGAAATCTGAAGACCTCTTTACTTCAGTACTCCCAGGTAGCATCCCGTTCAATCAGTTAGCGTCAGAAGTCCGCTAACTAAGAAATATGGTCCACCTCTCAGCTGTCCAATCGGTGTCCAGAACCTCCCAAATCTACGGTATGTCTCCAGTTCTGACTTTCCAGTATCACCTGTACCCTGGCAAGGAGAAGAAACTAGAGTAACTCTGGATGAGCTCCTGAGATCCATCTTAGTTTAAGGAAATTCCTGTTTTCAAGAGCAAAGCCCCTAGGTAACCTCTTGGTTAGAGATCACAATGAACACCCCCATTGTAAAACACGGTGGTAGTGTCATCATGCTGTGGGGAGGTTTTCTTTAAGCAGGGATAGAAAAGTTTGTCAGAGTTGTTGGTAGGCTGGATGGAGGTGGAAGGAGAGCAGTGATTGAAGAAAAGGCTGCCTGTTGGAGACAGATACACAGCACAGTTTTTAGCTGGAGTTTTATTATCATTTTGTGCTGTTGCAGCGTTCTTTACTGTATCATCAGAGCTCCTGGAGTCTTCGTCTTTCCCTTCCCCCTCTCCTGCCCCGTCCCTCAGCACATTACACAAGAGACTGCGCTCATTTTCTGAACAGTCTTGGCTGTAAATGTCCTACTTCCACGTTCTCACTGTATCACTGAGCATGTTCTCTATTTAGAGTGTGTTTGTTGTTTTTACTGGTCCAGCCTGCCATCCCACCACTGGGCTGCTCTTAGCACAGGGCAGCGCTTTTAATTCATGAGGGTGGAAATGGAGGGGATAGTAATTAGGATGCATGTACTAAAATATGCTCAACTTGATTAAAAAATGAATAAAGCGTTTAAGAGTTTTCAGGTGATGCTCATCCTGCTGGTAAAGCTGATGACCTCATTGTCCTCTCTCTCTCTCTCTCTCTCTCTCTGCAGAGTTTGTACAGATGATGACTGCAAAGTGAAGCTTCCCCGCCCCATCCTGCCCCTCTTAGAAGAAAAAAAAAATAAAAAAAATAACCAAAAAAAAAAAGTTTTACTTACCTCTTGGAAGAAAATGTTCATTTATTCATACCGTTTCTGTATAGAAAAATAATTGAATGTTGAAATAAAATATCCTTCTGTCCACACAAGGAAAAATATATAAAAACATACAAAAAATGTCTGCATGAAAATGATGGTTAGTGATTCTGTCCCACCCCCTGACCCCCCCGATCCCCTCCCTACATGGAGATCAGTTTAGCATCAGTACGAGTGAAAATAACACCCAACCCTGTTAACTACTACCTTCAGACTGAACCCAAGGCGTTTGGCCAACTCCTCCCGGTTCCATATGCTCGTGGTAAACGTCTGGGCTGGCCATCTCTTCTGTCTCTCTTTCTGTTTTCTGTTCTTCATGCATGCAGCTTGAGACCGGAGCACTAACCCCAACCCCCCCGAATTTATTCCCCCCGCCCCGTCCTTTCCTCCGGACTACCAGAGCGTGCTGATTCCACTAAAACCCGTCCTCTTGTTGGTTTGGTACAGTTTTTTTTTTGTATTTGCAGAGGAGCCCTGTACTGTTAGTTGAGAATATACCAGGTTCTAACTCGAGCATTAAAGTGGAACAGGATTTAATTGTATGCTAGATAAAAAAGAGAAAAAAAATGTACAAAAAAATACATTTTCAGACGTTTGGCATGTTTTTCTGTTATCTGGACGGCCATCTTAGTAGTTGTTTGTCCTTCCCTTTGTGAAGGAGGGGAGGTGTTAAAGAGTCTTACAGTGAGCTTTCTTTTTATTCTTTTTCTTTTTTGCTAACATGGAGTGTCTATCCTCTTTTATTGCAAGAGAGAATCACTGGCCTTTCGCTTTTCTTTTTCTTCTGTTCTTTCGACTCAGACGAGAGCATGGTGAGGGCTGCGTTGCTGTTCATCTGAGTTCAGTTTACATTCATTCCAAGTTGTACATGCTAGTCTATTTTTTTTTTTTTTTTTTTCAAATAAAAGACCATGAAGTTTATCATGTCTTATGTCATTTTTCTTATGCTTGATTGTAAAAATGATCTATGAAGACAGCATAACAAGTCTGTATGTTGTTTACTGAATAGACCCATGTGTCAACAATAAATGATTACAATCAGCTCCGTGTGTCTGGGTGATGTCCAGCTGTGTCCGACTCTGTTCCCGTTACGCTGTGGGCAGAGAGTGTGTTTGCTGTTGCGTTAAGCTGTGGATGCACACAAACCCACATCTATGACAGCTCTCTTCCCTCTTAAGAAGACCCAGCTGGTTGCTTAGCAACAGGAGCATGCTAGAACTGGGATGTTGAGGAGGGGTGGGGGGGAAGACAAGTGGGAGTTTGAATAAACCCTCCTGCCTCTGCTGATGACTCCATGTTGGCTTGTCCTAGTAAGGCAAACCAGGCCAGTGCTCTGCTGTGGTTTGGGCTCAGCTTTCTCCGCTGATTACGAGGCACGCAGAGAACAACACGCCTGAATATCCGCAAACCTCACAGTTGCATCATTCTGCTGCACGGTGTAATTTGAGCATGTGGAGGAAGGCTATACGCCCACATCTCAGCATGAAGGAAGAACACATATGCCATTAAGAGAAAAGGAAGAGCCACGCCAATGGGAGGTACTCTGCTTTCAAGGAAGGAACTATATGTTCTCCTATTTGTCTGTTATTAATAGATTGGACCAGTGGACAGAAGCTTACCAGAATAAAAAAGCTCTCATCCAGTGATTTCAACCACAGTATTTAAATTCAAACGACCCTAGCCTGACACTAAGCTTTGCTTCTGGCTCCTCCCTGCAGCAGCAGATGAACCAATAGTAACCAGAACACTTTATTTAGACCTGCATACCTCTGGCTACTGCTGATCAGTCACCTAGATGGTTACACATAATGCTTACTCATCTTTATTATCTGTAAACTATACAGGAGTTAGTTTATCAGAATTGGTTTGTTGGTGATGCATATTAATGGAGGTGCTAATACATTGGGACATGGTGGATTCCAACCCATTTTCACAGCACTCCAGTTGCAAGTTTAGAGAGCCGCTGGTAATTGCTCTGCTAACTGCTTAGTAAACAGGATGCCATCTTTAAGCACTTTGAAACCGCTAAAGTATTTCCTGTAGTTTAACAGTTGGGCCACATCCTAATCTATTTCAGAATGTTGCTCCCTTTTAAAGCAGTCACCAGCAAGGTATCCATGTTTTCTTGTTAAATTATTTTGAATATGGAAGTCATATTTACCATTACTCCAATATAGGAAGCTTATCTTTGTGCACTACACATTAAAAGCCTTATAGGGATGCGTTTCTTTTTACAGAGGAGAACCAGAGGGATGTAATAACTTGTTAGTGACTTTACATCTTTGTCTTTTCTGTATTTCAGTCATTCAAACACTAAAGGATAAAGATCTTGGATGCTGAAGAACCTTTTGAATGTACTTTTTTAGCTAGTCTGACATGAAATCAGAAATTCATAGCATAAACAAATTAAAGATTATTTCTATTTTAAGCCAGAAAAAGACATTATATATATAGTATATTGGTAGGCTCAGTTTTCACCCTATCAAGTTATAGCGGTGAACAGCTGATTGTTTATAAATCTAAGTTTCAGTTTATAAATCCCAAAAAGAACAAAGACAAATATATATATACACTGATATTAAAATGTTAATGCTTTACAGTAAGACACACTGTTAAAACTGCAAACATATTACAACCCTGCTGAATAGAACTTTTTAGCTCATGTTGTACAATCCTTTGGTCTTATAGTTTATCTAAATATGAGGAGAAAAACTTTCTCTCCTGTTGCCCCATCATGTTCTCCGGTTGTGAATAAAAACTTTAACATGTTTGTTTTTCGGTCCTCTTGTGTCCATATGTACAAATTATCTGTGGACAAACCTGAGGAGCAACCGAGGGTTAAATTAAACTGATTATTATGGAAAAGTAGCCCAGAGCATTACACTTCCACCACCGTGCTTGGATTTAACTTACAATGTCCTAAAATGTATTGATTTAACAAGACACACGCCTTCACCGCACAGTCGGCCTATTTTCCTCAATTCAAGGATTTCATCGTTAAAACAATCTATTGTTTCAATGCTGAATTTTGAACAATAACTTTAAAAGAAGAAAGTTAAGCCTTAGTTGCAGTAGATGTTCCTTTGGGTACTTTCAAAATGAATAACTTTATAATAATTGCTTCAAGAGGAGAAGGAAAAGAACATCAAAGGAAAAAAACAAACAGAAAAATGTAGGAGAATCATGAACGTGAGTTATAAAGTTAGATTGTATGAAAGTGTGTCTACCACTGGCAGTTCTAGACCAAATGTACCAGGGGGCCAGGAGGGGGCCAGCGTGTTTTCATGGGGGCACAGAAAAGCATGAAATAAAAAAACAGGCCTAGGGATTCAAATATAACAGCATAAAGTGAAATTTCTATTTAATTAGATTTAACTAAAATAAAAAAGGTTTTATTGGATCAATATACAGTGATAATTTAGGAATTTTACATATTTTTGACTTAATTTAAGCTAAAATTACAGCTTTCTATAAAATCTGAATTAGGACAAAAAAGAAAAAAGATAAATTAATCTTTTTTTATTTCAAAAAACATTTAGCAGATGAAAACGGGAATCCTATCTCAATACCACTGAAACTATCACCTTATTGTTTTTAAATAATTAGTAAAACAGAATTTATTTAAATAGATCTAAAGGACCTATTAGTAACCATGTCTGTTCCAGTGCATATCATCATTAAGAGTATTATGTCTTCAGAACAGGGGCCAGGACATGATCTACGGGGGCACTGGCCCCTGTCTAGAACCGCCCATGGTGTCTATGTACATTTTTATATTCTTTACAAAGATATTTTCTTTACATTCTTTAAATGTTAGGATTGTAAAAATGAGTAAAAAAACAAAATCATTGATAAGAATATGTTGGGTAGGGCACACAGCAATTTTACTTCTCTGTCTGTCTCTGTGTTTTTGGAGAATACTATACCCCAATGGCATTAATTATAAATTCACACCCAAAGTATGACAATGACTTAACCTTTAGAAATAACTTTCAAAACCGGTAGATCCCAATAACTTAAACTTTATTACATTTAGATCACCACATGTTGCTTTCTAAAACCCTTAAGTCTACTTCATGTTTTCATACAGGTCCCACCCAAATGCTTTCTTCAGGATTGTTAATAAGCTGACCTTGAATTTATTTATAACTGAAGCAAAACAACAATATTTTTTGAAGCCTTTTATAAATAAAATCATGCTCTTTGACATTACAGATGGTTCCTGCACTAATAAACATTCAGCTAAGTGTAGTTTGGAGATATTTAACCTTTCAAGTGTGAATTGAAGTGGGATCAAATACATACCAGGACATATCAGATATGTCTCCTGCAACACTAACCTTGGAGGGAGAATATAGAATAAAAGGAAAATACAAACAGAAGCACATGTTAAATAGACCAAAAAAAAAAAGAGTTGGCAAAGAACCTCAACCACCTGCTGCTTGCACTGACCACCAGCCAAGCATGAAAAATCCAAACAGTCTGTCGTCCAATCGAAGTTCAGAGCAGGTGGGGTTTAAGGGATGAGCCTACGGGTTCCCTGGAAAAGGCGGTCCTTCCTCTCCGGGGAGGAAGGGATACCTGATCAGCTAGCAGGTTAAATTAAGAACATCAATATTTCATGTGTAAATGAAGCAGCACGCTGCGGAGGCGGTAACATGAGAGGGGTTGACCGGGCAGGGGGATCAAATAGCAGCACCCCCTGGAAAGAACAGGCCTGCTTGTGAGATGACATACGCTGGGACTCTGTATGTCTGTGTATGACACAGTGCGTATCTTGTTCAAAGTACACATATTCAGGAGGGGAGGGTGGAGACTGGGATTGTATGTTAGAGTCATAGAGTCCTGTTTGTTGCTATAGCATGCTGAGGAAGTAGACGATGATCTGAGGTAGTCAGCGCACCAAAACAAGAAACGTTCTGATAGCACCATGGTTAGACAC